AAAGGCTTAACATCTTGGATCTACAAGGAACTCAAACGTGCTGAAAAGAAAAAAACAAACAACCCCATTATAAAATGAGCAAAAGATACGAACAGACACTTCACAAAGGAAGACATCCGAGCAGCCAACAGACACATGAAGAAATGCTCAACCTCGCTAATCATCAGGGAGATGCAAATCAAAACCACACTGAGATACCACCTAACTCCAGTCAGAATGGCAATTATCAATAACTCAAAAAATAACAGTTGGAGAGGGTGTGGCGAAAAGGGAACACTTCTACACTGTTGGTGGGAGTGTAAACTAGTGCAACCTCTGTGGAAAGCAGTGTGGTGATTCCTAAAAGCTTTAAACATCAACCTCCCATATGACCCTGCAATCCCCTTACTGGGAATATACCCTGAAGAACTCAAATCACTCTATAAAAAAGATACCTGCACACGAATATTTATTGCAGCATTGTTCACAATAGCAAGAACCTGGAACCAACCATGCTGTCCATCAAAAGAGGACTGGACTAAAAAAATGTGGTACATATACACGATGGAATACTATGCAGCCAGAAAAAAGAACAAAATCATGAATTTTGCAGCAACCTGGATGGAACTAGAGTCTATAATACTGAGTGACCTCTCACAGAAACAAAGATCTGAGTATCACATGTTTTCACTCATATAGTGGACCTTAATCATCCAACGCACTACCATAAGAAAATGACTGACAGTGGTGGGAAACTATGCGGGGGGGAAAAGGGGGATGGGATTAATGGTAGTAAACATCTGTCTGGGAACGGGGAGACACCTGTTATCAACAAGGGGGCCTGAATGAAGCATATTTGTATATCTAACCCTTAACTGTACCCCACAATATAATAAAAAATACTGATTTAAAAAAATAAAATAAAGGCTTAAAACAAATAAGTCTTTTGCATACCAAATTTTTAAAAATTTGGATGAAGTCCAATTTATCGACTTTCATGGATCATACTTTAAGTGTCATGTCTGAAATTTTCACCAAGCCCTAACTTTTTCTCATGTTATCTACTAAAAGTTTTACAGTTAAAATTTACATTTAAATCTATGATCTGGCTGGGCACGGTGACTCATGCCTGTAATCCCAGCACTTTGGGAGGCAGAGGTGAGAGGACTGCCTGAGCCCACAGGTTTGAGACTAGCCTGGGCAACATGGTGAGACCTTATCTCTACAATAAATCAAAAAATTAGCTAGGAGTGGTGGCACACGCCTGTAGTTCCAGCTGCTTGGAAGGCAGAACCAGAAGGATCACTTGAACCCAGTTGGTTAAGGCTGCGGTGGCTGTAAGAGTGCCACTGCACTCTAGCCTGAGTGATAGAGTGAGACACACACACACAAAATAAGGACGGGTTCAATGGCTCAGCCTGTAATCCTAGCACTTTGAGAAGCCGAGACAAGTGGACTGCCCGAGCCTCTGGGGTCGAGACCAGCATGGGCAACTTGGTGAGACCTCATTTCTACAATAAAAAAAAAATTCGCTGGGCGTGGTAGTGTGCACCTGTAGTTCTGGCTACTTGGAAGGCTGAGGCAGAAGGATTGCCAGATCACAGCATGTTGACACTGGGGTGGCCATGACTGTACCACTGCACTCCAGCCTGGGCGACGGAGTGAGACTCCAATTCAAAAAAAAAAAAAAAAAATTCATGATCCTTTTGAGTTAATTTTCTATCAGATGTGAGGATGAACTAGAAAAAGAAACAAAAGTCAAAGATAAGGGAAGAGAAAGACAATTTAATGGAATAGACTTTAACTACTAAAATTAATTTTAAAACTATTAAAAGAAAACATTTTATGCAAATATTACATTTTTAAAAAGCAAATAAATAGTATTTTAACATTACAAAAAATATGTAGAATCAGAAAACATGAACATAGAGACAATAGCCAGGCACAGTGGTTCATGGCTGTGATTACAGCACTGAGAAGGGAGAATTGCTTGAGGCTAGGGGTTTGAGAATAGCCTGGGCAACAAAGTGAGAGTTCATTTTTAACAAGGTGGGTATCTGTGGTTCTAGATACTCAGGAGGTCAAGGTGAGAGAATCTCTTGAGGCTAGGAGTTCAAGGTTACAGTGAGCTAATTGTGCCACTACACTTTAGCTTGGACAACAGAATAAGACCCTGTTTCTACAAAATAAATAAATAAATGAATGAATAAATAAATGCATGAATAAATAAAGTCAATAATTTGTGTGCCAAAGTGAGATTTCTTACCTACATGCTGACTCAGTGCCTGAATGACATTTGTAGCAGCAGCATAGATGCCTGGATTCTTGGAATTCAAGTTGTTATCCACTATTGCTGGAATTAGCATGTTGATTATAGGAGATAAGTGGTCTCTAAGTAAAGGAATCATTTTGTGCATTGTTTCCAGAGCCACTAGATTTACTTTACTATTAGAATCATGAAGTCGAGATTTAAAAGCATCAAAGATCTGAAAGTAAATTTGTAAATTATTTAAAATAAAATGTTTGTAGCCATTACATTTAAATTCTCCTGGCATTTCATATTTTCCCTACTTTAGTTAGTTTAAACACATACCCACAACATCCTATCACCTGAACTTAGATAACAAAAACTTTATAAAAAATTTGGATACTAAATCAAAGTGTCAAATCTAAGGTAAAAAAGAGAAAGCCTCAAAAATCACTCCTAAAGATATCCCAGTAAAGCCTGAGAATGTGGCTCAGTAGGCAGATGAGTAGCTTACTGTAAATATGAGTAAAATGCTGTTTTCTGGAATGTGCATTTTAGCTTAGCTAATGCTAAGAATTTACAAAAGTTTCTGTTTTTATCTCTCTATTCATGCTAGAAGTAGACATGTAAGTTTTACTGCATTTTGGATCACTTGCCTGTGTCCATTTTCAGGATGATTCTGAGTCATTCATTAATCACTGACATTAAGACAACCTTAGGCTGATTTTAATAACGCTAGTCATAGACTGGGAGCTATGACTCACGCCTATAATCCCAGCACTTTGGGAGGCCAAGTTTAGGTTTGTTATAAAAATTATAGATGCAATTCAGAGTTAAATTTTTTTTTTTTTTTTTTTTAGTTGAGTCTCACTCCCTCCCTAGGATGGAGTGTAGTGTCATGCTCACGGTCACCTGAGAGTTGATCTGTTGGGGTCTGGCGATCCTTCCACCTCAGCCTTCCAAGTAGCTAATTTTTTATTCTGTTGTAGAGACAAGGTCTCACACCAAGTTGTCCAGGCTAGTCTCGAACCCATGGGCCTGAGTAATCCACTCGCCTTGGCCTCTCAAAGTGCTGGGATTACAGGTTTAACCACCAAGCTCGGTCCAGAGTTAAATTTTTATGATTACTTCTTAACCTGATAACTTTAACAAGGATTCCTTGCTCTTTAGAATCCTTAATTTTCATAAACTCAAGGTATAATAAAGGGAACAATCTTTTTTTTTTTTTTTGAGTTGGAGTCTCACTCTGTCGCTCACACTGGAGTACAGTGGTACACTCATGGCCACCCCAGTGTCGACCTGCTGGGCTCCAGTGATCCTTCCGTCTCAACCTTCCAAGCAGCTGGAACTACAGGCATGCACTACCCCACCTGGCTAATTGTTTGATTTGTTGTAGAGATGAGGTCTTGCCAAGTTGCCCGGGCTGGTCTTGAACCCTCAGGCTCAGGCAATCCACTCAACTTGGCCTCCCAAAGTGCTGGGATTACAGGCTGAGCCACTGATCTCAGCAGAAAAATCTTTTAATTAGGTGAATGAAGAGTTACTCTATGAAGCTGAGTCTATTAACTAATAACTCCCAATGTTTATTTATTAATTTATTATTTTTCGTGTTAAGAATAATCTTCAGAGCAACCCTCTCAAGTCCCCTACCACTGTGGGAGCTTTTCTGTTCTGCCCTTTCAATAAATCCTGCTTTCTCAAAAAAAACCCAAAAACCTTCCAAAAGAGATTTGACTTATTTTTACTCAACAGATATTAGAAAATTTAACTTTCTGGCTCCTATGACACAGTAATGTGGTACTTTTCTTCTGAAAATAGAGACAACACCACTGGAATGAAAGAATAGTTAAGGTATATTTGCCAAGTATGTTAATGCATGCTATACATATTTAAAATGGAATTTACTTAATAAATTACAAATAGAATTAACTGAACTATATGTTCATACTGTCCATTAAAAAAATAAGCTGGGCATGGTGGCTCACGCCTATAATCCCAGCACCTCGGGAGGCCGAGGTGAGAGGATTGCCTGAGCCCGCAGGTTTGAGACTAGCCTGGGCAACTTGGCGAGACCTCATCTCTACAAAAAATAAAAAAATTAGCCAGGCATAGTGGTGTGTGCCTGTAGTTCCAGCTACTTGGAAGGCTGAGGCAGAAGGATTACCCGAGCCCAGCAGGTCAAGGCTGCGGTGGCTGGGAGCATGCCATTCCCCTCCCGTCTGGGTGACAAAATGAGACTCCAACTCAAAAAATAATAATAATTAATTGAACAATATTCTGATGATGCTAATTTATGTTCTGTACTATAAACATTTAATATTTCCCTTTCTTTTGCTTGATATCTTCCTAAAGACAGATGTATAAATAAGTATACAGAAATTTCTAGCCCAAATGAAAAGTTTTAATATCTATTCCAAAGCAATATCAAATCTTTTGAATGTCTTTGCTTACTTTTCAAATATTTATTAATTCATTCAACATACAGTTACTGAATGCTAGGTTCTGAGAGCTCTGAGACGATAGAAGCTTCAAAGTTACCATCTGTGACAGAATTCAGACAAATAACTGCTGTTTTCTTACTTTCTTCCAGTCACTTTGAGCTGTTCTAGTATGCTATTAACACAGAAAAATCTAGGCAATGCATTCTTTTCACTGAGCTTATTTTAACACCTTAAAATAATATACAGAAAGTACCAAGATTTAGGGCTATTTTAGTTCATACTAACTAACTTGAATGGCTACAAGTTCCAAATGAAAAGTAATTTTGGCAAGTCCTTACCTTCACAATGTTTCCAACAATAAGCTCTTGATTATTTTCCGTATCTGATAAAAGCTGCTTAATCCCATTAATACGATCACGAAAATCTTTTGCATTTAATAAACCTGTTAAGACTTTAATGTACTCAGCACTTTCTAAGGAATTACGAGGAACTGATTTTCTGATGATTTCACGAACTTCGGTTACCTCTCTAAAGTGAAAGAAAGGTAAACTTAATTTCATTTTTACTATTGTATAAAAACCACAACATAATAAAAAAGTCTCATTATAAGTTCATTTTCTCCAAATTCATAAAATGACCTAACCCACAGCCATAATATCTCTGTCTGGTGTCCCCAAGATTTCACCTAGGTTTGGTGATTTGCTAGGACCTGCACTCATAGGAGTTGATATATAGTTTTACTTATGACTAAAATTTATTATGGCAGAAGGATACCAAACAAAATCAGCAGAGGGAAAATGTGCATAGATGCAAGTTTCCAAGTCCTTTCCCAATGGAGTCAAATAGGATACACTTCTTAATTCCTTCAGCAGTGAGTTGTGATGAAATATGTGAAATGGTGTCTACTAAGGAAGCTTATTAGAGACTTCATGTCCAGGATTTTTGGGGACTTAGTCATGCAGGCAATCTCTGCCTAGGATATACCAAAATTCCAGACTCCCAGAAGGAAAGGAGATCGTTATCATAAATCATATTGTTTGCCCAAACAATTTAGACACAGTAAACTATCTTATTAACTAGGGAATAGTGGGAATTATCTTGAAATCCTAGTTTTCCATGTCAGTCAAGAGCTAACCTTGCAAGCAGGCCTTTTCAAGTATAGCAGTCCCAGGACTATAATATTAACTCTTTTCTGAACAAATTCCTAACTCCTTGAGGTCTAGATAGATTTAACTTGAAACTCTTTCTCAATTCAATCCTTCATAGAAGATTAAGTTAGCCACTCTTATCAGGAAATAGTCAAAATCTCTCCAAAATCCAAGTTCCTAGATACCAATCTATGACCAATCTCTCTATGTGGGCTTTTCTAAGAATAGCAGTCTGAGGACTGCTATGTTAGCTCTTTTCTTCAAAGTATCCATGTGATCATGTATGGGAAAATAAGAAACTCAGACTAGCAGGCAACGATTTAGTATTAGCAGCAGAATGTTTTTCATAGTTATAAAGGAGTAACTCAATGTAGCAGATGATAATCTCGCTGAAATAAAGTCATGAAAATTGTCAGATCTTCAAGACAATGATAACAAGTACCAGTTACCATCATGTCTATGACTAGTATTATTTTTTATTTATTTCATTTTTTGAGTTGGGGGTCTCTGTCTGTCACCTAGGCTGGAGTGTAGTGGCACAATCATAGCTCACTGCAGCCTCGACCTCCTGGGCTTAGGCAATCCTTTAGCCTCAGCCTCATGAGTAGCTGGGGCTACAGGCATGCATCACCATGCCTAGCTAATTTTTTTATTTTTTGTGAAGACAAGAGCTTCCTATGTTGCCTAGGGTGGCTCAAACTCCTGGGCTCAAGCAATCATCCTGCCTTGGCCTCCCAAAGTGCTGGGATTATAGGCGTGAGCCATAGCTCCCGGTCTATGACTAGTGTTATTAAAATCAGCCTAAGGTTGTCGTAATGTCAGTGATTAATGAATGACTCAGAATCATCCTGAAAATGGACACAGGCAAGTGATCCAAAATGCAGATCCTAGATGTATTTAACATTAGTTTTAATTTGTTCACATCTTGAACCCCTAGAATCAGGCAATCCTCTTGCCATGGCCTCCCAAAGTGTTGGCATTACAGGTTGAGCCACCGCAAAAAACACTTTAAAAAGACATACCAGGAAGTGCAAGTCAAAATCACAATGTGTTAAAGAAAAAAAATTATCCTAACAAAATTGTTAAAATGGTAAGAAAGACTTTATTCAAGAGGGATCATGACTATTGCAATGGGGAGAAAAACAGTGCTCAACTCTGATTACAGTAAAGACAGCCAATAAGCTGAACGAAGAGGTCAGTGGATGAAAAATTATTAAGAGGAGACATCAAGAGTAGGAGGTTTCTTGCTAAACTGGCCCAATAAGATTCATGCTAAAGGTAAGCCAAGGACTTATACATCAAAGGTGGAGGATGAGGAACCTGATCAGATAGCGAGAATGATCATAAATCAAGCGAAGGAGTGGGTGGGGTGTATAACTTAGCAGGATACTATGCTAAGACTGGGTTAGGCAAGCCAAAAACAGAGCTCAAGGACAAAGCCTAAATGAAAAGTGGGATCAGAGGAGCCTGTCTATAGTTTGGTTGAGAAGAGTTTTCACCAAATGAAATATCAGTTTACACCTACCCACTGTGATTATTAACAAGTGTTAGTGAGAATGTGAAGAAACACTGGATTTTATTTTATTTTACTTTTTTGTAAGAGCATAAAGTGACTATTTATTATATCATTTGATCCTCTTAGGTATCATATGAATTGACAGAAGAGTGTTAATTCTATTTTACAGAAAGGAAAAATTTATAGAAATAAGGTAATTTGGCCAAGAAGTGGCAGAAATAGGATCTATATTGGGTCTCCAGAACCCAGGTTACAAATATAGGCTGGACCAACTTTGGATGCTAAGAAAATATCAGGCAGCTGCTAAGGCTCTTTACTACTAGATTTTCCATGTGAATCTGAAGGACTTAAGTCTGGGAGGCTCTGTCTCCAGAGAAAGTTCAGAAAAATGAATGGAATTTAGTAAAGATAAAATAACTTGGTCACTATCAGTCACATAGAGTTTCCAGCCTCTTTTTTGTTTTGACGGTTGAAACCCTTTACATGAGTGCACTTGAAGGGGGGAGGGGAAGGGGAACACAGCTCATCATCAAGGGTACCTGATCTCAAACCAGGTGAAGTGGGGACCAAAGTGAGGCCAAAACTTTACCTACACAGTGACCATTTGCATATCCAACCGCGAACTGCATCCCACCTCTTCAAAACAAACAAAAGATAATTAGTTAATTTTTTTTGTTGTTTTAGGCAATGGTTTCCTTTTCTTTTCTTTTTCTTTTTTTTTCTATTTTAAAGATATGGCTCACAATCCAGGGCTGGGTACACAAATGTTCACTATGCAGGTACCTCTGCTAATGAGGTTTGCCCCCCGCCTCCCCTGGCAGATTCCCAGTCCCACCTCTGTCCTCCCACCTTTGCCAATCCCACCTCTGCCCTCCCCTGGCAGTTTCCCATTACTGCCAAACCTTTTAAAATAGTATTACGATGATTGTTCAAGGCCCACTTATAAGTAAGAACATATGATATTCAGCTCTTTGCTTCTGAATATTTCAATATTATAGATTCTAAGTCTATCCAGGTTGCTGTGAAGTTCATAATTTTGTCCTTCTTTATGGCTACATAATATTCTATCATGTATATGTACTATGTTTTTTAAATCTAGTCCTCTTTTGATGGGAAGCACAGTTGGTTCCATGTTTTTGTTATTGAAAACTGGATTTTAAATGAGACTTTAGACCAAATGAACAGAATATTCTACTGAACAACTACTGAAAAATATACATTCTTCTCATCAGCACATGGAACCTTCTCTAAGCTAGACCATATGTTAGATCATAAGCAAGCACATTTAAAAAAATCAAAATCATATCAAGTATCTTCATAGACAATAATGAATAAAACTAGAAATCAATACCAAGAGAAACTTTGGAAACTATGCAAATACCAGAAAACCAAACAACATGTTCCTGAATATCACTGGGTTAACAATAAAAAATGAGATGAACATTAAAAAAAATGAAATAAATAAAAATGTTAACATAATATACACAAATCTGTGGGATGTGCAAAAGCAGTGCTAAGAGGAAAGTTTTAGCATGAAATTCCTGTTTTGAAAAAGTAGAAAGACCACAAATTAACAACCTAATGTTACACCTCAAGAAATTAGAAGAACAAGAATAAACCAAACCCAAAGTTAGCAGAGGAAAAGAAATAACAAAGATCAGATCAGAACTAAATGAAATAGAAACCAAAAAAATCAATACAAAAAAGCAACAAAATGAAAAGTTGGTTCTTCAAAAAGATAAACAAAATTGAAAACCACTAGCTAGACTAACCAAGAAGACAGAAGATCCAAACAAACAAAACCAGAAGTGAAAGAGGAGTCATTACAACTGATACCCCAGAAACAGAAAAGGCCATGAGAGACAGTTATGAACAACTATGTGCTCATGAACTGGAAAAAAAAATTAGAGAAAATGAATATATTCCTGGAAACATACAAGCTCCAAGACTGAACCAGGAAAAAATAGAAATCCAGATCCAGATGAATTAACAACCAGATTCTACCAAATGTACAAAGAACTAATACCTCCTGAAACTGTTCCAAAAAATCAAGTAGGAGGGATTCTCTCAAACTCATTCTACAAGACCAGTATCATCCTGATACTAAAAATAGACAGTATATAACAACAAAAAAGAAGACTACAGACAAGTATTCCTGATGAACATAGATGCAAAAATCCTCAACAAAATAGTAACAAAGTCTAACAGCATATCAGAAAAATAATTCACCATGAGTTAGTGAGTTTTATACCAGGGATGAAAGGATGGTTCAACATACACATATCAATACATGTGATAAGTCACATAAACAGAATGAAGGATAAAAAAACATATGATCACCTCAATAGATGAAGAAAAAGCATTTAATAAAATTCAGCATCTCTTCATGATAAAAATCCTCAAAAAACTAGGCACAGACGGAACATACCACAAAATAATAAAGGCCATATACAACAAATCCATAGCGCACTGAACTGGGAAAAGTTGAAAGCATTCTCTCTAAGAACTGGAATAAGAAAGGGATGTTCACTTTCACCACTCCTATTCAACGTAGTACTGGACACTGCTGACAGAGCAATCTAGCAAGAAAAAGAAATAAAAGGCATACAAACTGGAAAAGAGGAAATCAAATTATCCCTATTTGCTGATGATATGATGCTTTACCTAAAAAATCCCAAATACTCCACCACAGAACTCTTTTTTTGTTTTTTTGAATTGGAGTCTTACTCCGTCGCCCAGACTGGAGTGCAGTGGCCGCTCCCGGCCACCACAGCCTCGACCTAAGTAGCTGGAACTACAGGCGTGCACTACCACACCCGGCTAATTTTTGATTTATTACAGAGATGAGGTCTCACCAAGTTGCCCGGGTGGGTCTCGAACCCACAGGCTCAGGCAATCCACTCACCTTGGCCTCCCAAAGCGCTGGGATTACAGGCTGAGCTACCGAGTCCTTAGATTTGATAAATGAACTCAGTAGTTTTAAGATACAAAAATCAACATACAAAAATTAGTAGCATTTCTATACATCAATAATGATCAAGCTGAGAATCAAAAAGGTAATCTCATTTAAAATAGCTACAAAAAATTAGAATACCTAGGAATATATTTAACCAAGGAGGTGAAAGATCTCTATAAGGAAACTATAAAACACTGATGATGAAATAAATGTAGATGACACAAACAAATGGAAAAATCCCAAGCTCATGGATTGGAATAATTAATATTATTAAAATGACTGTACTGCCCAAAGCAATCTACAGATTCAATGCAATCTCCATCAAAATATCATTTTTTTTTTTTTTTTTTGAGTTGGAGTCTCATTCTATTGCCTAGGCTGAAGGGCAATGGCACGCTCAGGGCCACTGCAGCCTTGACCTGCTGGGCTCAAGCAATCCTTCTGCTTCAGCCTTTCAAGTAGCTGGAACTACAGGCATGCGCCACCACGCCTGGCTAATTTTTTGATTTACTGTAGAGATGAGGTCTCACCAAGTTGCCCAGGCTGGTCTCGAACCTGTGAGCTCAGGCGATACTCTCACCTCAAATGCATAAGAAACAAAAACAAATAGACAAACTGAAAAGGTTTGGTTAAATTTAAAAGGTACTGCATAACAACAGAAATAATCATTAAAAGGGAACAAATACCCTATTGAAATGGGAAAAACCATTTGCAAACTAAGCATCCAACAGGGGAACAGAACTATAACTTATGGAGGACTTGGACAACTCAACAACAAAAAAACCCAAATAAAAAGTGGACAAATATAAGGCAGTTTTCAAAAGAAGACATACAAATGGCCAACAAGCATTTGAAAAATGTTCAACACCACTAATCATCCGATAAATACAAATGAAAAACACAATGAGATATTATCTTACATCAGTCAGAATGGCTATTATTAAAAAGACAAAAAATAACAGATGTTGGTGAGAATGCAGAGAAAAGGGAATGCTTATACACTGTTAGTGGAAAGTTAATTAGTACAGCCTTTATGGAAAATAGTATGAAGATTTCTCAAAGAACTAAAAACAGAACTACCATTAGATCCAGCTATCCCAGCTATTGGGTATCAACCCAGAGGAAAATACATCATTATATCAACAAGATACCTACACTCATATATTTATTATGGCACTACTCACAATAGCAAAGATATGGAATCAACCTTAGTGTCCATCAATAGATGCTATTCAGCCGTTAAAAAAAAAAAATCATGCCTTTTGCAGTAGCATAGGGAACTAAAGGTAGCAAAACAACCTAAGCAGAAAAATTCAGAAACAGAAAGAAAAATATCCACTTATAAGTGGAAGTTAAATAATGTAAACATGTGCACATGGATATTGCAGACTGATAGACACTGGAGACTCCAAAGGGTGAGGAGGTGAGAGTGGAGTAGATGATGAGAAATTATTTAATGGATGCAATGTACATTATTCAGGTGATGAATACACTAAAAGCTCAAATTACACCAGTATGCAATATATACACATAGGAAAACTGTACTTGTATTCTTAAATTTATGCAAATAAAAGTATATTAAATGTTAAGTATGTTTCAAAATTGCATATACAATATATGTATAAAAATTTTAAAAGCAGTTTTTTTCTGGCTGTTGGTATTATGAACAATTTGGTTAAATTCTTCTTTCAATATTTGTATTCGCTAAAGTTTTTTTTTTCTTTAATCATAATTATGTATTACCTTTAGAAACAGGTGAAAAATATAAAGGCTATTAACTTTAATTTATTTTAATTAATTAATTTATTTTTTGAGTTGGAGTCTCACTCTGTCACCCAGACTGGAGTGCAGAGGCCACTCCTGGCCACCTCAGCCTCGACCTGCTGGGCTCCATTGATCCTTCTGCCTCAGCCTTCCAAGTAGCTGGAACTACAGGCACGCGCTACCACGCCCGGCTAATTTTTTTATTTATTGTAGAGACGAGGTCTCGTCAAGTTGCCCAGGTGGGTCTCGAAATGGCGGGCTCAGGCAATTCACTCACCTCAGACTCCCAAAGTGCGGGATTACAGGCTGAGCCACCAAACCCGGCTTGGGCTATTAATTTTAAAAAATTAATCAGAATTATCCAAGATAGGCCTACTATTGACAACTTCAGTAACACTAAAGCTATAATAATATTTAGTGTATGTATAAGCAAGTTGCTGTAAATATATTAAATCTAATTACCTCACACTTTTTAGGTCCATACCAAACTTCTAAAACTCCATTAAATTCTGGCAAATAGCCCTGGAATATCTCATGAAAACATTCAAATGAGACTACTATCATTAGGGAGTATTTCTCTAATGATATGGACTATCAAATCATCTTACCTTTCAGCTGAGTTGAAAGCATCTCTAGAAACAGATGATGATCTAGTATTTCCAACACTGCCAGTATGAGATCGTCTTCCTTTTGCTGAAGGAGTATCTAGTGGTATCTCTCCCAAACCCTGTAAGTAAATATAAAAAGACAATATAAGAAGTCTTAAGACTAGTAGTGAAATAACTTGCAAAATGTAATTTTCAAATAAGTCATTATTAAGTTTTTTTAAGATTGAAAGTATTTTATTTATTTATTTAATTTTAAAGACGTGGGGTACAATTCAGGATTAGGTATGCAAGTGGTCATTGTACAGGTAAAGTCTGGGCCTCCTTTTGGTCCCCACTTTTGCCTGGTTTGAGATCAGGTACCCCAATTGATGTTATTTGCCCCACCTCCCCACTGGCAAGTCCCACTACTGCCAGTCCCTTTATTATAGTACTATGGTAAATGGTCAGAGTCTGCTAATGAATGATAAAAGTATTTTAATCATCTGCCATATTTATGTAATCCCAGCACTTTGGGAGGCTGAGGTGAGTGGATTGCCTGAGTCCACGGGTTCAAGACCCGCCTGGGCAACTTGGTGAGACCTCATCTCTACAATAAAATCAAAAATTGACTGGGCGTGGTAGCACGTGCCTGTAGTTCCAACTACTTGGAAGGCTGAGGCAGAAGGATTGCCAGAGTCCAGTGGCCGGGAGCGGCCACTGCACTCCAGTCTGGGTGACAGAGTGAGACTCCAACTCAAAAAAAAAAAAGAATATCAGACACAGAAAACACCTTGTAATTAGTAGTAGTAAACTAACAAAATATGTGACTAATAGGAAATTGCATATTGATTTGTTAAAAGACATTGTTTAGGCTGGGCATGGTGGCTTATGCCTATAATCCCAGCAATTTGGGAGGCGGAGGCGGGAAGACTGCCTGAGCTCAGGGGTTCGAGAAAGATAGTATAAGAAGTCAAGGCTGTGGTGGTTGTATGTGTGCCACTGCAATCCAGCCTGGATGACAGAGTGAGACTCTGATTCAAAAAAAAAAAAAAAAAAAAAGAAACAAAAAGGCACTGTTTAAAAATTTTTAAATTTTATAACTACTCTTCTTACAGTTTAAAATCTATATGGAAAACAACACATTTCATAAACAATGTGTTCCTCTGCAACACCAGGAGTGTAAGAATGAACATTTAACTTTTTAAAAATTTTTTGAGTTGGAGTCTCACTCTGCCACTCATGCTGGAGGGCAGTGGTACGCTCCTGGCCACCACAGCCTGGAACTGTTGGGCTCAGGCGATCTTTCCGCCTCAGTCTTCCAAGTAGCTGGAACTACAGTCAAGTGCCACCATGCCCAGCTAATTTTTTGATTTATTGTAGAGATGAAGTCTTGGCAATTTACCCAGGCTGGTCTTGAACCCATGGGCTCAGACAATCCTCTCACCTTGACCTCCCAAAGTGCTGGGATTACAGGTGTGAATTACTGTGCCCATCAGAATGAACATTTTAGTAAGAATTATTTAAAATCTTTTTTCCCCTGATACTTGTACTGCTAGTGACTCACAAATACAATCTGCCTCACTTTAGTAAGATTTTTTGTTCTATATGAATTAAACAGAAATCTTCAAGCTCAATAGCCAGAAAACAATGCTCTAAAATACACATCTTTATAATATTATACCTTCATAAATGAGTCCTTAGCCCAAGGCCATCAGAGAGAAATGATGTAAACTACAATAGAAAAATTCTACATTATTGGGGCTGGGTGCAGTGGCTCATGCCTGCAATTCCAGCACTTTGGGAGGCCAAGGCAGGAGGAATGCTTGAGGCCAAGAGTTCAAGACAAGCCTAAGCAGCATAGTGAGGCCCTGTCTCTACAAAAAAAAGCTTTAGAAGTTAGTTGGGCATGGTGGTGCATGCCTGTAGTCCTAATCCTTGGGAGGCTGAGGTAGGAGAATTGCTTGAGCCCAGGAGGTCAAGGATACAGTGAGCTAAGACTGTATGGCTGCACTGCAGCCTAAGTAACACAGCGAGATCCTGCCTTAAAAAAAAAGTTACAAAAATTCTTCATTAACTTAAACATGTTTTTAAAAAATGATATATAAATTGATTACTTTTTACATTTTATTTTACTTGGTATTCTTCCAGTCACTCATTTGACAGATATTACTGAATCCCCATTATCTACCAAGACAAATGAGACATGACACTTAACCCTTAAAGAAGGACTCCCTATAAACACTCTGCAGTGTGGTAATAGCTCTAATAGTGGAACATACAAGGCAAATAAAGCAAGTACCTAGCATGGTAAATATTACTATCCTCATTTTATAAAAATAAAAATTTTAGTTAAGACACTAAGTGGCATTCCTAAAATTAGGCAGTTGCTAATTGTCAGAGTTGTGATTCAAACCCAAGTTTTACAACTTCAATGAACCAAACTACATTGTACCAAACATCAAGCTTCTGTTCAATAAACATTTACTTCCTATGTATATCTACTTAGTACTGCTGTTGCTGAAATGCTCTCATAGATAATATTCCAAATGGTCAACAGAGAAATAATCAAATAAATAATTATTTCTATCTTTTACTTTAATAAAAAAATAAACTTTGTTTTTAGAGTAATTTATAAACAGGCCAGAAGCAGTGGCTCACACTTGTAATCCCAGCACTTTGGGAGGCCACGGTGGCAAGATCGCTTGAGCCTAGGAGTTGGAGACCAGCCTAGGCAACCCAGTGAGACCTCATCTCCATAAATAATTCAGTTAGTCAGCTGTGGTGATGCATGCCTGTAGTCCCAGCTACTTGGGAATTGAAGGCGGAAGGATCCCTGGAGCCCAGGAGGTCCAGCCAGTGGTGAGCCGTGATTGTACCACTGCACTTTTTTTGGTTTAAGTTATTTATAAAACAAACTTTTCCCACATACCTTTTGCCGTAAGTTTTTAACAGATTCCTTAATATATGGCAAATCTTTAGATGGGACATACTTTTCAAGCATTCTTTCAAAGTTAGGATGACACATCATGAGGAAGAGCATCTTTCGACCGTAATACCTACAGATATTTGAGAAATAGGTAAATAATTTTATTTATATTAACAAGCTTAGATTCTGTCTTCAGATGCAATTTTTTCATTAGAAAAAACCCTATCAACATCAACATGATCACCCCATTTTTAAGTAAGATGATGAAATGTAGATAAATTACTATATAGTACTAGAGAGCACAGATGATCTTCCACAATGGTTTGACTTATGATTTTTTTGGGACTAAATGATGGTGTGAAAGAGATATGCATTCAGTAGAAACCATACTTTGAATTCTGATCTTGGTCTGGGCTAGGAATGCTCAGAGAATACTCTCTTGAGATGCTGGGAGGCAACAGCAAGCCACAGCTCCCAGTCAGCCAAGCAATCATGATACTCTATGATGAACTATGTTGCCAGATGATTTTGCCCAAATGTAGGCTAGTGTAAGTATTCTGAGCACATTTAAAGTAGATAGAGTAGGCTAAGCTATAATGTTCAGTAGGTGAAGTGCATTAAATGCATTTTTGGCTAAAGATATTTTCAATCTGTGATGGGTTTACTGGGACATAATCCCATCGTAAATTGAGGAGCATCTGTATTGGATTCTCTTGCCTCTACAAGCCCACTTGTAAATCACTATGTATTCAAATCTTTCAGTCATGTGTCAGATGGAGAGCCAAAAGCATTGATTTTTTTTATTCTTCAGGCATCAAGGGTCCATATCAAAGCTGGCATCTGGCAGAATTGTGAGTTAGGAAGAAGTTGTCTTTGTCCTGGTCTCCTTGCTTTTTGACCTTCTGCTGCCTACCTGCTGGCCAGATGTTCAAGCCTGAGTCAACCCTCCCTAGGTCCTATATTTCTGATTCTCTTTTTCCCTAGTCAAAATTCACCTGGGGTACAACTCTTCAAAATCCTGTTCTCTGCTTCCTAAAAATACAGCCAAGGTTAGTTAAGCCAAATCATCCTGATGGTGGAATTGCAGATTTCATGGAAGTACACATTGGAGCTATTTTAGCACAGAGCTATCTTATAGTACCTCAAAATAATACCACATTATTAATCTTCAAGGAGGTCTGGACCTAAAATAAATTATGGTTATACTTTTGCATACAATTTGGAATATATGGGACTAGAAGAACCAGAGAACAGACTTTTGTGGGGGAAGGGTACAGAATGATCTTAAGACCCCTCTAAATGTAATGAAATTGCAGAAAGGGAGGTGATGACAGGGATAAACATTATCTTTTTCTCCCCATAACCAGAATAAAGTCTATACCCAGGTAAGTAGCTCCTAACCTGTTATAGTTTCAAGGACAATTCTAATGTCTACCCTGGAGTGTTAAGGAATGTAAGTCCACTATAGGGCCCAATTATATGGGAAAGGCTAAATCAAACAAGTAAGCTAGGGACACAGCATGTGAAAAATATTAAAACTCGAAAATTAACTATTACATAATTTTATAATTTTGAATAAGAATCTAAGAAATGACAAAATGAGTTACTACACCATTAAGAAAAGGTTGAGTAAAGCAGCACACAAGACAACGATTAAGAATCTTTTTTTGTTCCTAACTAGTCTATAATGAACTAACCCTCTTACATTTTTTTGAACATTAACGTGGTATGCAGAACTTCTAAAAATGTTTCCCTCAAAATGTCCTCGAAACCCTAAAATTTGTGAATATAATGAGATATCACTCCTAGGATTGTTATGACACAAGCTGACCTTTACACAGGGAGAGATGTGAGTGGACCTAATCTAATCAAATGACCACTTGAAAACAGAGAGCTTTGTTGAAAACAGAGAGCTTGCGAGGCTCAGTGGCTCAGCCTGTAATCCCGTACCTTTGGGAGGCTGAGGTGAGTGGATTGCCTGAGTCCACGGGTTCGAGACCTGCCTGGGCAGCGAGGCCTCATCTCTACAATAAATCAAAAAATCAGCCAGGTGTGGTAGCGCGCGCCTGTAGTTCTGGCTACTTGGAA